TTGTTGCTGTTAAACGAATTTAAGATGGATGTCTGATACCAGGCTTTAGGAATTACTACCACCCCAGACCGTAGTTCACCTTCCTATGACCCCTACCTTCTCCTTAGCCTGGAATGACATATATGCCTCATCTTGCCTTACTGGCTTTGTATTCTCACGCTTATGTGAATTCCTGTGCGTATTAAAATTGATTTTTCTCCTGTTAATCTGTCTTATGTCATTTTAACTGTTGGGCCAGTCTTAAGAACCAAGAGAGGAAGGGGGAAACTATCCCCTCCCATACAACCCACTGCCCTCCACCTGAAGCATGACCCAGAAATCTCTCTTCTGTAGGTAAGTCAGTGGAGAGGGAAAATCCTGAAGTCCCCAAATTATATCTTAACCACCGTGGAACCTAGTAAAGATTCTTTGAAATGAATATCACCTGAAGTCCTGCAAAGTACTACTAACCAACCCAACCTCTTCTGCTCTGGAAATAGAAGGGAGACGGAGACATGGGAAACCTTTTGCATAGTTGCCAGGGCTATGGAGAAATCACCTGCCTCCTTTGTTCCTATAATTTAAATAAACACAAACCACCCCAATTTTTCTTTTCTTCCCCAAGTTCAAGGGATACTTGTAGAGTAAATAACAAATAAATAATCTCACAACCAAAAATAAGACATATTGCAGTTATAAAGGGGTTATGTAAATGTTTCCCCATCAAACCTTATAAAAATACATCAAAGTTGCATCTTAAAACCGAGAGACTTCTGCGATGGAAAGTGCTGTTTTGCCTTCTGAAAACCAAAATTCTCTTATTCTTGTTGCCTCGGGCCCCACCCTACAATCCAACCTCCTTCCTGCTTTTCCTTAGCGTGAGCACCGAATCTAGTCAAGCCATTGCCTACCCCCTTCAAAGTCACATAGGCGTCACTTTTGTCACTGTTTTGTGGTACACCTTCTTTCTTCCATGGATGATTTTTCTCCCTCCAGACAAATCCAATGCATCATTCAAAGCCAAACCAACTAGCTAGGCATTTCTCTCTCCATGTGTTCCCAAACCAAGCAAAACACAGGCTTTATGGGGTAGGAACACAATAAGTGTGGATTCTGCTTCTATCACCTTTGACCTTTTGTTCTGAATGTCAATAGTATTTGCTGCTCTGACAGTTGATAAAGCATTTAGGTATGTTATGTTACTAGCTCTGTTCATATGTAACTTTGTCTCATTAACTGGGCAGGAAAAGTATTTGGTCTCTTATTTCAAACTAGAGGCCCGGTGCACAAAATTTGTGCACTGAGGGGGAGGGGGAGGTCCCCTCAGCCCGGCCAGCACCCTCTCACAGTCCAGGCCGTCAGTCGGACATCCTTAGCGCTCCCGCCCCCGCTGCTGTGCTCTATACTCCCTGTGGGAGCACGCTGACCACCAGGGGGCAGATACTCAGCGTCTGCCCCCTGGTGGTCAGTGCACATCATAGTGACCGGTTGTTCCCTGTTCAGTTGATTTGCATATTAGCCTTTTATTATATAGGATGACAAGCCTGTGCTTTTTTTTTTAATCTAAATGAGGACATGCCTACAAATCTAAGGGAAGAGCAGGAACAGTATTTTACATTTTATTCATATTCCTCCAGGACTTATGCGTATATGTACTCAACAAATAATTGTTGCTTGATTGTTTGCTTGATAAATTTGAAGGCCTCAAATTTATGCAGGCTATTGCTAAGGCAGTACTGTTTAAGAAAAAGTATAAACTCCCACCGTTTAATGTTTTAAATAAAAGATTTTTACTTGATACTTAGATATCTGGCTTATATAACTTCTAGTAGATAATTTATGTATTGTTTTATACTTCTGCATCTGAGTATACATACAGGGTTTTCTCAGGAATTAAACAACTTGAAAAAAAATTTTTTCAATCTTTATTATTGAAAGTATTACAGATGTCCCCTTTTTCCCCCCATTTGATCCTTCCTATCCCACAACACTCCCCCCCACCAGGCCTTCACCCACTATTATCTGTGTTCATGGGTTATGCATATATGTATACAAGCTCTTTGGTTGATCACTTTCCACCCACCCACCCAATCCTGCTTTCCCTCTGAGATCGCTCAGTCTGTTCCATGCTTCTATGTCTCTGGATCTATTTTTTTTCCACCAGTTTATTTTGTTCATTAGATTCAACAGATGAGTGAGATCATGTGATACTTGTTTTTCTCTGACTGGCTATTTCACTTAGCATAATACTCTCCAGGTCCTTCCATGCTATCTCAAAAGGTAAGAGATCCTTCCTTTTCACTGCTGCATAGTATTCCATGGTGTAAATGAACCACAGCTTTTTTATTTACTCATCTACTGATGGGCACTTGGGCTGTTTCCTGATCTTAACTACTGTAAATTGCACTGCTATGAACATAGGGGTGCATATATTCCTTCTGACTGGATCTACTCCTAGAAGTGGGATCACTGGATCAAATGGCAGATTCATATTTAATTTTTTGAGGAAACTCCATACTGTTTTCCATAATGGCTGCACTAGCCTGCATTCCCACCAGCAGTATACTAGGAACTAAACTTTTAAAACTCTATAAATGTCTGGAAACAGCCTAAGTGCCCATCAGTAGATGAATGGATTAGAAAACTGTGGTACATCTACATGATGGAATACTATGCTGCTGTAAAAAAGAAGGAACTCTTACCATTTGCAACAGCATGGATGGAACTGGAGAGCATTATGCTAAGTGAAATAAGCCAGTCAATGAAGGAAAAATACCACATGATCTCATTCATTCATGGATAATAAAGACCATTACAAACTTTTGAACAATAATAGATACAGAGGCAGAGCTGCCTCAAACGGATTGCCAAACTGCAGTGGGAAGGCCAGAGAGGGTTGGGGGGCAGAAGGGAGGGGAGTAAGAGATCAACCGAAGGACTTGTATGCATGCATATAAGCATAACTAATGGACATAAGACACTGGGGGGTAAGGGAGGGCAGGGGATTGTCAAGGGGGGGGGGAAGGACACATATATAATACCCTTTGTAATACTTATTATAATATTTTTTTAAAGAATAAAAAAACTCTATAAATGTTTATTTACTGAACTAGTAAACATAATGTGCAAAGCTACTTTATGACATAAGTAAACTTGATGGGCAGTGAATCTGTGATATCAGAGTTGTAATGAAAGCCGGTAAGAGATAGAACCATCACAGCACTGAAGCCATGGAGAGGACAAGAAGCACCTTTCATTGAAATGTTGTGAGAGAACACCAGAAAGATGACCAAGTGAATGGGACACACACAATTTTGAGGGGTTTCTGAGGCTTTCAGGTAGAAATATCACCTCGGCAGGGAGATATTTGTATCTGGAACTTGGAGGAGAGGTTTGGACATAATATAGGGTGACCCCAAAAAATGTATACACACACTTTGAAAAATTATAAAGGCAGTGTTTATTAAAATACATTTCATCGTCAAAATGGAGCTATCAGCTGTTAAACTGTATATATATTTTTGAGATGCCCTGTATATATTTGGAAATTATGAGCCTGTAAGTGGTGGGTGACATAGATGAAATTGTTTAGTGAAGGAAAACACAGAAGGAGAGAATGTGCCCAGGACTGAGCTATGAATACCCAGCCTACGTTGGCCAGATACAAGAAAATTCATGTGCAAAGGAGT